CCACTGGATGGTGACAGTTAATACCCCCAAGGCCACCCCAGGACATAGAGGAGCAGAAGCATCGGGGTAGTCGACCCGGGCAAGGCCCAGCCCCAGGGGAAAGGCACTTGGTTCCTAGGCAAAGGCAGAGGCCTGTCAAGCATGCCCCGGGTGAAGTCCACTATGTTTGGCAGCCTGATATGGGGTGTGTTTGTTGGGCAGAGGGTCTCTATTGAGGCCTCAGGGCACCACCTCCGCAAGGAACCTCAGTGCCATAGACTGTGTGCAAAGGAGTGCTATCAGTACAGGGACCAAAACCCAGTAGTAAAAACAACTTCAACAGCAAAAGCAGCAGCAGCAGGTGTCCAGTATCAAGTCTGTCCATGTGCTGGACGCTGGGCTGACCACTATCCACATGTCACCCTTCACCACAGCCCAGTGAGGTAGGTTCTCTAATTATCCTCATTTTACCAATGAGAAAAACTGAGTCTCAGAGGGCAATTTGACTGAAGCCACGTGGCTGCAAGTGTAGAAAAAGAATGTGAACCCAGACAATCTGGCTTCAGAGCTCAGCTGGCCTCCTTATCCTGGTTTGGCCCTTTAAGTTCAGTTTGGTTGTGGGAAACTGAGAGACCTCCAGGGCATTCCTCACATAGGGTGAGTTGAGTTGTGGCCTCCAAGAAGACTTTGGCCTGGAAGCCAAGATGTTACTGAGGAAAATAAACAAAAGCTATTTCAGGTGACAGGTACTGGGCTGTGGAATTGTAGGAGGGGAAATGTCAAGCTGCAGGAGTTTCCTCATTGTACACTTTTGTGTGTTCAGCAGAACAAGCGTCAACAGAAAGCTGCTCTGTTGCCAGCGTCGCCCCTGGAGACAGAGGGCAGGAGCAGGAAGTGTCCTTTCTCTGTGACCGCAGGTCCTCCCGGGGCTTGCCTCTTACTCAGCCCTGCCCTGCGTTCCAGCCGAGGCCTCTGGGCGGGGGGGGGGCGGAGGTTCTCAGAGTGCTCCCGGGGTGCTGCTGCCCTTTGCAGGCTCCTTGTCGGGGCAGAACCTGCCTGTCCTCACATCCTGCCCAAACACATGCAGACTAGGATGCAGCAGGCTAGCAACTCTGCTTAACACACCTCCAAATGGGTGTGAAAGGCCAGCGGGGCTGAGGACGCAGGAGTGTTCATATTTTCAAGTGGCTGCTGCCCATGAATCACCAATTTCATTTTGTGCTCTCAGCTCTGCGAAGGCATCATTTCCACCCAGCCTCACATGGAGCTGGCGGCCAGAGCCTCTTAGTGGGGCTATAAATAGCAGATCATCAACTCACCTCCTCTGAGCTCATCACAGGCTCCTCGGTTTACTGTGCGTCTTCCAGCTGCCTGCACGTCACTGTCACTCAGATTTCCCAGGTGAAACCTGGCTGAGAGACTCAGGGCATGCTTTAGGTGGCTGCAGGGTTTTGGTTCCCAGAGCTGTTCAGGGTAACAGTGAGTCCAACAGCAGACTTTTGAAGCACTTGACATTTAAGACGTCATCATTATAATCTCAGGTCTCTGTGCTCCTTTCCAATTAAATGCAGTAGGAAGGGTCTGTCATTTCTCTATGGGTCCTAGAAACCAAAGGCAAAGGACTCACCAAACACACACCCAGAGAAAGCCATACGGAATGGGTAGCAGCAAATGAAAGGCTTCATGCCGGCTGGGCATGGTGGCTCACACCTATAATCCCAGCACTTTGGGAGGCAGAGGCCGGCGGATCACTTAAGGTCAGGAGTTCAAGACCAGCCTGGCCAGCATGGTGAAACCCCATCTCTACTAAAAATACAAAATATTAGCCGGGCATGGTGGCATGCACCTGTAAGCTCAGTTACTCAGGAGGCTGAAGCACAAGAATCACTTGAACCTGGGAGGCAGAGGTTGCAGTGAGCCAAAATCATGCCACTGCACTCCAGCCTGGGCAACAGAGCAAAACTCTGTATCCAAAAAAAAAAAAAAAAAAAAGGGTTCGTGTCTTCTTGTGGACTTGCCTCCTTGCACTCTGAATGAAATACTTTGTGGCTCCCTGGCTTCAGAAGTGAGATTGCATTTTTTAGTATTACCCTTAGAGCTTCTATACAGAGTCTCCCCTTGTGTCAGGCACTGTGTCCAGCCTCTGCATGCAGCATCTCATCGAGTCATCACAAAGCCATATTGAGTTAATCGCTGGCAACGTTTTCTTTCTATAGGTGAGGAGGCTGTTGCTCACAGGACAGGTGACTCAGCCAGAGCCACAGAGATAGGATTTCAATCCAGGGCTGCTGGATTACAGAGCCCAGTCTCTGAATCACCACCCTTTCTGACTCCTGCAGAAGAGGGCTATGTTTGTGTCCATGCATGTGCGTACGTATGTTTGACTGAGGGATGTGAAGGACAGTTTCCTTTCCCAGTTCTACATACTCCATGACTGTAAGTAGGAGGCAGGTGCTCATGGATTCACCATCCCCCAAGTCCTAGGCCCCTTTGTCACCTGGAATGTCCCATGTCATCTCCCAAATCTGATTTTCTTCTAAAATCAGAAGGCTGGAGGCTGGGCCCCAGTCTCCAGGCAGCTCTCCTGGCCCAATTTGATGGTCTTCTTCATGTTTTCCTCCCCTCAGCCCCCTAAGCAGGCAGAGGCCAAGTGGGGCTCCCCTCAGGGCAGCCTCCCCAGTCTATTTCCCCTCTCTCTCCCTAGACTCCCAGCCTCATATTTGGGGTCTGATCCCCTTTAGCGGCCTGTCACAATGACTTCTGCAACTGTGGAATGTTTTGAGAATGCAGATTGCTAGTTCCCTCCCCAAACCACCTGAAACAAAATATTGAAGGGCAGAGGCTGGCGTGTGGATTTCTACAAATTTCTCCCAGTGATCTGATCTAGAGCCCCCTGGATTCTAGCCTCTCCCTCTCTGACCCTTCTGACCTACAGCTATCAGCTTAATTTTCCTTTTTTTGTTGTTTTTTTTTTCTTTTGAGACAGGGTCTCACTCTTTTGCCCAGGCTGGAGTGCAGTGGCACAATCTCAGTTCACTGCAACCTCCGTTCCCTGCAACCTCCAGCTCCTGTGTTCAAGCGATTCTCCTGCCTTGGCCTCCCAAGTAGCTGGGACTACATATGCCTGCCACCATACCTAGCTAATTTTTGTATTTTTATTTATTTATTTTTCTGAGACAGGGTCTCGCTCTGTTGCCCAGGCTGCAGTGCAGTGGTGCAATCTTGGCTCACTGCAACCTCTACCTCGTGAGTTCAAGCAATTCTCCTGCTGCAGCCTCCCAAGTAACTGGGACTACAGGCGTCTGACACTATGCCTGACTAATTTTTGTATTTTTAGTAGAGGTGGGGTTCTGCTATGTTGGCCTGGCTGGTCTTGAACTCCTGACCTCAGGTGATCCACCTGCCTCGGCCTCCTAAAGTGTTGGTATAACAGCGTGAGCCACTGCTCCCGGCCAACTTAATTTTCTGAAAGCACAGTTTATCTCATGTTACTCTCCTGCTCAGAATCCTTGGGTGGCTCCCACTGCCTGCAGAAAAATCCAAAGACCTGGTGTGGCATTCAAAGCCCTATCCATCTGGTCCACTCACTCTCCTGCTAACTTTTCCCTGTCACAGTCTCCCAGCCCAACTTTCCTGCCTTAGTTTGTCTGGACTTTCTGCAGCAGGGCACAGCAGAGCACACTGAAATGGCAGCGATCCTTCCCTAAGACTGTGAGCCCTTCAATAAGAGGAATGACTGCTAAAGTGTCCTCATAATTCAGGAGCCTTGTGTGCAGCTTTACATGAAGGAGGTTTTGTGTGGCCTGCAGATGAAAGGAGATTCACCAGCAGATGCAATGCAATAGCAGTAATGTGTCAACACAGGAGAGCAGAGAAGTGGAGCTCACGGTGAATTCAAAGGAGATGATATTTCAGCGTTCCGCTTGCTTTTTATTCATGCATAGGAGATTGACCAGAATGTCAAGCGCTGGGGCAAAGGCCGTGCTGCCAAGCGCCTCTCCAGCTTTTCCATCCCCCATTCCAAGACAAAAGCAGAGAGACATATTTGGGTCTTGTTGCTATTGTTTAAAAGGTCAAGAGTGTTTTACCAATACCATTAAACAAAGTGTGTGTGCTGGGCGTAGTGGCTCACGCCTGTAATTCCAGCACTTTGGGAGGCCGAGGCAGGTGAATCACCTGAGGTCAGGAAATCGAGACCAGCCTGGCCAACATGGTGAAACCCTGTCTCTACTAAAAATACAAAAATTAGCTAGATGTGGTGGCGCATGCTTGTAGTCCCAGCTACTCGGGAGGCTGAGGCAGGAGAATTGCTTGAACCCAAGAGGCAGAGGTTGCAGTGAGCCGAGATCGTGCCACTGCACTCTAGTCTGGCAACAAAGCAAGACTCTGTCTCAAAAAAACAAAAAACAAGGCCGGGCGCGGTGGCTCAAGCCTGTAATCCCAGCACCTTGGGAGGCCGAGATGGGCGGATCACAAGGTCAGGAGATCGAGACCATCCTGGCTAACCCAGTGAAACCCCGTCTCTACTAAAAAATACAAAAAACTAGCCAGGCGAGTTGGCGGGCGCCTGTAGTCCCAGCTACTCGGGAGGCTGAGGCAGGAGAATGGCGTGAACCCGGGAGGCGGAGCTTGCAGTGAGCTGAGATCTGGCCACTGCACTCCAGCCTGGGCGACAGAGCCAGACTCTGTCTCAAAAAAAACAAAACAAAAAAAACCAAAAAAAACAAAAACAAAGTGTGTATTTAGACTTTGATCCGCTTCCCATAAAGAAACATCTACCACAAAGCAAAATAAAAACCAACTGTGTTGACTGAAAGCAAGATTTCAGAACAGGGCCTGGAAAGTGTCCCCTGAAAATGCTTCAGAGTGAAAACTTACACAAAAGAACTTCTGGTTAAACATGGCAGAGGAGTCTCTTGTGAATCTGTCTGCTCCCTCCCAAGCTCTACCAAAGATAGCAACACAGGAGTAAAAAGAGTTAAAAAAAAAAAAAAAAAAAAAACCTGACAAGGTCTCTGAGAATAGAAGAGGAGGCAGCAGCAGACGAGGATGTCACCACATTTTCGGAAGGTGGGAAGCAGAGGAAGGAGTGGAGTGGTGAGTCACACAGAGGCGTGGAGGGAGCTGAGGCCTGATTCCGCAGAGGAGAGGAGAGAGGCAGGTGTAGCTGCTGGGAGACAGAGGATGGCGCTGTGAATGGCAGGAGTGTGGTGCCTGCCTGAGAGCTAGGTGAGAGGCCTGGGCAGGCAGTGGGCTGTCTGCTCCTGCCCACTCCTGAAGGAGACCTGAGGTTTACTCCCTGGGGAATTTGAATCAGCACATCAGGTACTATGAAGAGCAGGTATGGGGTACAGAACTGGAAATATGGGAACAAAAGAAAATCTAGATACCAAAAGGTAAATTCTCAGCCCCTTTTCCTCACCCTGCTGCTAGATAACCTAGGTGCCAGGCACATTTCTCACCCCTTCACCCCACCCCAACCTGCCCCCTACTCCACAACCACCACCTGAAAATGAAAGAACCCTTTTCTGTACAAACTGAGCAGGCTCAAAGGGAAGACCTTTAGATACAGGCGTTTGGGGCCCTCAGTGGCACAGCAGCTCAGGGACCACCACCCTGCGCAGGGAAGTCCCCCATTAGTCAGGCTTTACCCAAGCAGGCTGGCCATCCATCTAGTCATCTCTTCAGCACATAGTCCTTTAATATGATCAGAGAGAAGAAGAAAACTTTTTAAAATGCTATAAAATCCTCAGGGAGATAAAATAAGATTTATATCTCAAGGTTCATTTCCATGAACTGGCAGAAAACCAGGGATAAAGAAAAGACCCTAAAAGGATCCAGAAAGAAAACAGGTGACTCCAAAGGATCAGGAATGAGAATGGGAGTAGGTTTCTCAGCAGCAGTGCTGGAAGCTGGAGCAGAATGGAGCGAGGCCTTCAGAATTCTGAGTGAGAATGACTTACAGCCTAGAGATCTAAACCCAAACCATTAGTCAAGAGGAATGGTACAGTAAAAAGATGTTTTCAGGCTGGGCGCAGTGGCTCACACCTGTAATCCCGGCAGTTTGGGAGCCCGAGGCGGGCCAATCACGAGGTCAAGAGATTGAGACCATCTTGGCCAACATGGTGAAACCCCGTCTCTACTAAAAATACAAAAATTAGGCATGGTGGCGTGTGCCTGTAGTCCCAGCTACTCGGGAGGCTGAGGCAGGAGAATTGCTTGAACCCGGGAGGCGAAGGTTGCCGTGAGCGGAGATGGTGCCACTGCACTCCAGCCTGGGCAACAGAGCAAGACTCATCTCAAAAAAAAAAGAAAAAGAAAGTAGGTAATGTCCAAAACTAACAAATCAACAAAATAGCAGTATAGGCATTTTTAGGAAGATGGGAGGCAGTTAAAACTGGGAAAAACAACGGAAAAGGATGAAGTGGCTACCTCTGGCAATCAGAGGAAGGATGGGATTGAGTGGGATTGGGTAGAACAGTGCACTGCTATTTTTCATTATATATCTTTTAGTACTTTTGACTTTTTTTTTTAAGTTGGGTTCTCACTCGGTCACCCAGGCTAAAGTGCAGAGGTAGGATCATAGCTCACGGCAACCTTGAACATTTGGGCTCATATAATCCTCCCACCTCAGTCTCTGAAGTAGCTAAGCCTACAGGTGCATGCTGCCATGTCCAGATAATTTTTTTTTTGTAGAGACAAGATCTCACTATGTTGCCCAGGCTGGTCTAGAACCCTTGGCCTCAAGTGATCTTCCCTCCTTGGCCTTCCAAAGTGCTGGTATAACCCACATGAGCCACTGTGCCCAGTCCCTTTTGACTTTTTAATTTTTGTGCGTATTTACATTATTTTCACAAAAATAAAAGGTAATTTTTAAAAGAAAAAAATTTAAATTTAAATTGAGAAAAACAAAATAGCAAAAAGTGTTAGTCATTGATTACTTACATCTCTGATTTATTTCCATTCTGCTGACTTTTCTCTTTCTCTTTATCTTCTTTCTTTTTTTTTTTTTTTTTTTTTTTTTTTGAGACAGAGGCTCACTCTTTTGCCCTTTTGCCCAGGCTGGGGTGCAGTGGTGTGATCTCAGCTGACTGCAACCTCCTCCTCCTTGGTTCAAGAAATTCTCCTGCCTCAGCCTCCTGAGTAGCTGGATTACAGGCATGTGCCACCACACCTGGCTAATTTTTGTGTGTGTAATTTTAGTAGAGAGGAGGTTTCACCATGTTGGCCAGACTGGTCCCGAACTCCTGACCTCAAGTGATCTGCCCACCTCAACCTTCCAAAAGTATTGGGATTACAGGTGTGTGCCACCATGCCTGACCCCAAGGCTTAACTCTTGATTGGAAAATATGATAGAGTTGCCAGATGAAATATATTTAGGATATGCTTACACTAAAATTATTTATTGTTTTTCTGAGATTCAAATTTAACTCATCCTCTTGTATTTTTATATTCTATTTGTTTGCTAAATCTGGAACCCTAAAATGTGGACTCTTTTTTCTCTAACCCCGCAAGCTAGGACTGTGACCAAAGAGAGACATGAAACCAGAAAGTTCTTCTGCAATTAATATTCACAACTAACTGACTAAATATTCTGGTCAAGGATGAGCCGTGATTTGGTACCTAGTACAGATGTGCATGGTGTGATGCCAACCAGCCCCTGGCCAGTCTCTGCAAGCCTAGAAGCATACATACTTAAGGGAGTGCAGGTTTTGCCCTGCCACCTGCAGCAGCGCACCCCGCCTCCCCCACCTCTTTCCCCTCCGTCTGGTCCTCCTTTCTCCATCTGTCCCTTAGGGCTTAGGAGCTGAGCCCAAGGCTTCTGTAGGCTATCACCATTCCTGGGCTGCATTCTTCCTTCTGAGAGGGGGCAGGGCAGGATGAGAAGTGACCTCAATTTAGCTAAATTCAGGAGTGAGATGACATCCATTTCACTATCTTTTGCTTTTTATGGAAAAAACTATCTCTTTAGGCAAATTTCTTACATAGTTGCTTAATCTTGTCTACAATGTGCTTTATTTAAGAGTTTCACTCTCAGAGGAGGATTTTGTTCTTCAATTGTGGAGTGATCTCTATCACCAGTGACTAAAGGTAGGAATGGAATAATTTTCTCCCTTTTATGCTTAGGAAGCTATCCTTTGGTGTTAATAGAATTAAGACTAAGGAAACAGATGAGTCCTCCTGAAAGCTAAAATCATCTCTGGAATATATAAATATGTAATTTGGAAATACATAAATTTATACAGTAAAAGAGAAACAGCTAAAATCTGGGTATGTACAAATACAGAAGAATACAAATATAAAGCATTTTTATTGTTTTGACATTAATTATTCCTTTTTTTGAGCAGATGTTGGAGCACAGAAAGCCATACCGCAAAATATGATGCTTCGGCATGCTGAGTGCTTTGAAAATTGAAAGGCCTCGGAAATAAGCCTCAGTCTAGGGTCTCCCTCTGACCTCCCCCTACCTCCCTTTCTCTCTGATCCCGTCTCTCCCAAAGCACAGAATGAAGCTGTTCTCTGAAGTTCCCTTATCTACCTAGAAACTGGACCCCCAAAGAGGAACACAATTGCCTTTTATCCCTTCCCTGAAATTTCATTAACCAGAGAAAATTAATACTTCTATCACAGAGGAAGAGACTGAACATTAAACACCATAGCTACAGCCCAGACAAACTTCTTCCCAAACCATTGTTTGTTCTCCCACCCCATTAAATTGCCAGAGAATCATTCACAAGATAAAGTCTGCCTCTGGGTCCATTCATTTCCCACTAAAAATCTTTCACTCCTACACCCTCATCTCTCCTTCCTCCATGAAGAAGGGTCTATAAACCTCTAGGCCTCATTGGGTTATTGGGTAATCATTCTCATGCAGTTCACCTGTGCTCTGCATTTTAAATAAATTTGTATGCCTTTTTCTCCTACCTGCCTTTTGTCATTTTCAGTGAAAAGGTAAAGGCAGAAGCTTTCCTTCTTTGCCCCTACACCGTGTCAACAACAGCCAGCCAGGCAAAGGGTTTCAAAAACCCAAGTGGGATTAAGATGATTAGCCACATGGCTCTATTCTACAAACTAGTGGTCAGAATAACAAGAGTTTGCTTATTAGGAGGGCGAGGTGGGAGGATTGCTTGAGTTCAGGAGTTTTGAGACCAGCCTGGGCAACACAGTGAGACCCTATTTAATAAAAATAAAATAAAAGTCTCTATTTAATAAAAATAAAATAAAATAAAAATGTTTAAGTTTGCTTAAACATTTTCAAAGCTTTCTAAAAACAAATGACTGTGTCCATATATATATATTTAATTATAAAGTAATCATGTAAAATATTCAATCATGTTCAATCATTCATTTATTGTAGACCTGTGAGATGACCATTCTTTTGAATTCTCCCAATGACTTAGGAGCTCAGTTCAATCCAAGAAAGTTTTTGTATCTTTCACACAGCTCTAATTGTTTAAAGGTCTTCCATTTAAAGATGAAATCTAGCTTTATATAGCTCTCACTCTTTGGCCCTATGCTTGCCTTGAAAATTAAGGAAGAACAAGCCATCTTCTACAAAACAGCCTTCAAAAGTCTGAAGACATTACAGGGCTTCTGGAAATGCCTTCTCTGCAACCTGATCTGCAGTTCTCCTCCTCCATCTTCCTGTGAGCACTTTAGTTCACCGATGATAGGCTTAAAATAAGACACTCACACTGAAGTTCTCCTGGTATGGCCTGAGGCTAGCAAAATAGTGAAGGACTGACTTTCTGTGATCTGAACGCTGAATATCCATCCAGTAAAGTAAAAGCAGCTAGTAGAGTACTGTTTTAAGAATACCAGTTTTAAGGTTTCTGGCAGAGGAAAGACTTGTCTGATTGAACAGAAAAAAAAAAGCTTATATTTACAACAGATTAAAACATTCACACATTTTGATATAGAAATGCCATTTTATATGAATACAAGTAATGGATTAACAGACAAGCTTTGCAAGACAGAAGCTAACCAACCTAATTTTAATCGTCACTACCTTTTCAGTCAGGCGCTGGGTAACTTCCTGCCGTAAGAAGCCTTAAGGGGATGCAATTTCCATTGCTTTGTGATGTTAATTTAAGGCAATTATCGTAAGTAGACTCCTAAAAAGTTTTGCATATTATTTGTCCTTGTGAAAGCCCAGTGCTGTTGGAGAGTCAGGATGCTGGAGAAGCCCTAGGAAAGGAATAGTCAGAATTTATGTTTTGTTTTGTTTTGTTTTTGTTGAGACAGAGATTCACTCTGTTGCCCAGGCTGGAACGCAGTGGCACAATCTCTGCTCACTGCAGCTCCCCACCCCGAGGGTTAAAGTGATTCTCCCACCTTAGCCTCCTAAGTAGCTGGGATTATAGGTGCACCCCACCATGTCCCGCTAATTTTTGTATTTTTGGTAGAGAGGGGGTTTCACCATGTTGGCCAGGTTGGTCTCCAATCCCTGACCTCAAGTGATCTACCTGCCTTGGTCTTCCAAAGTGCTGGCATTACAGGCGTGAGCCACCGCATCCAACCTAGAATTTTTTTTTTTTTTTTTTTAAGAGACAAGTCTTACCACGTTGCCTAGGCTTGACCTTGGACTTCTGGGCTCAAGGGATCCTCCCAAGTAGCTGGGATTACAGGTGTGCACCACCACACCTGACTTAGATACTTCTGTAAGAGCTGAAGATCCCAAAGTTTGAAAGCTTTCAGTGTTTTGCAGCTTTCCTCTGAAAGGCTGGAAACCCTGCTCCAAGAGCACTCTCCACTTAGGTTTTTTTTTTTTTTTTTTGAGACAGAGTCTTGCTCTGTCGCCCAGGCTGAGGTGCAATGGTGCGATCTCAGGTCACTGCAACCTCCACCTCCCTGTAACCTCTGCCTCCCGGGTTCAAGCGATTCTCCTGCCTCAGCCTCCCAAGTAGCTGGGATTACAGGCGCCTGCCACCACAACTGGCTACTTTTGTATTTTTAGTAGAGATGGGGTTTCAACACATTGGCCAGGCTAGTCTCAAACTCCTGACCTCAGGTGATCCACCCACCTTGGCCTCCCAAAGTGCTAGGATTAAAGGCGTGAGCCACTGCCTCCGGCCTCCATTTAGTATTTTTGTGGCACCTGCATTTTCAGTTTTTTCTCGGCAGGAAGGGCAAGAATAAAACTGCTTCTCCAGTTCATTTGGCTGTATTAGAACAGTTTTGTTGTGTATGGAGGGGAAAAAAATGGGCATTTTTTTCTCCTTGACACTTCCGGGACCACTATGCATTTAAGTTACGTGCTGAGCTTGACTGTGGTGGGAAGAAAGGTGACCCTGGGGTCCATGGCTCAGTGGTCCCGTAACCAACTAGGAGGCCTCCTTGAGCCATTTCCAGGTGTGGGAGAGGATTCACCTGTTGGATTGTCCCCCCCCACCCCCCCGCGTTGCATGGATCAAACTTGGAATAGAACAGCTGAAAGTGCTGGAGGATAAATAAGGACCAGCTGGAAGGCTGGGTGTGGTGGCTCACACCTGTAATCCCAGCACTTTGGGAGGCTGAGGCAGTGGATTGCCTGAGATCAGGAGTTTAAGACAAGTCTGGCTAACACGGTGAGACCCCATCTCTACTAAAAATACAAAAAGATCAGCTGGCCATGGTGCTGTGTGCCTGTAATCCCAGCTACTCAGGAGGTTGAGGCAGGGGAATTGCTTGAACCACGGAGGTGGAGGTTGCAGTGAGCCGAGATCACGCCACTGCACTCCAGCCTGGGCGACAGAGGGAGAATCCGTCTCAAAAACAAAAAAAACTGAAACGTGGGGCTGTCCACGTTTCACTTAGGTATAAACCTGGATTTGGCAAAACACAGTAAAATTTGGCAAAACATAGTAAAAACTTTAAAAGTGTGCATGAGGACTGGGCACGGTGGCTCACACCTGTAATCCCCAAACTTTGGGAGGCTAAGGCAGAAGAATTGCTTGAGCCCAGGAGTGAGTTCGAGACCAGCCTGGGCAACATGACAAAACCCTGTCTCTATGAAAAATTTAAAATTAGCTGGGCGTGGTGGCGTGCCTGTCATCCCAGCTACCTGGGAGGCTGAGGTAGGAGGATTGCTTGAGTCCAGGAGGTCAAAGCTGCTGTGAGCTTCCACCAAAGCCTGTGTGTCCCCAGTTAAAAAAAAAAAAAAAAAAAAAAAAGCCTGGCGCGGTGGCTCACACCTGTAATCCCAGCACTTTGGGAGGCCAAGGCCAGCGGATCATGAGGTCAGGCGCTCCAGACCATCCTGGCTAACATGGTGAAACCTCGTCTCTACTAAAAATACAAAAAATTAGCCGGGCGTGGTGGCGGGCGCCTCTGCTGCCCAGGTTGGAGTGCAGTGGTGCAATCTCGGCTCACTGCAGCCTCTGCCTCCTAGGTTCAAGCAATTCTCCTGCCTCAGCCTCCCAAGTAGCTAGCATTACAGGCGTGCACCACCACACCTGGCTAATGTTTTGTAGTTTTAGTAGAAACAGGGTTTCACCATGTTGGCCAGGCTAGTCTTGAACTCCTGACCTCAGGTGATCTGCCCACCTCGCCCTCCCAAAGTGCTGGAATTACAAGCATGAGCACCATTTTTGTATTTTTAGTAAGATGGGGGTTCATTTCATTTTGGCCAGGTTGGTCTCAAACTCCTGACCTCAGGTGATCTGCCCACTTTGGCCTCCCAAAGTGCTGGGGTTACAGGCATGAGCCACCATGCCTGGCCTTGATTAATTTTTTATAGGGACAGAGTCTCACCATGTTGCCTAGGCTGGTCTTGAACTCCTTGGCTCAAGCAATTCTTACACCTTGTCCTCTTCAAGTGCTGGGATTACAGGCATGAGTCATCTTGTCTGACTAAGGATTTCTAATGTAAAATTTTCAGGTAGAAGGAAAATGAAACCAGATGGAGGGTAAGAGATAGATAAGGAATGGAAAACAAATAAAGTGGTAAATATATGTAAGATCTAATGTTTCATTGGATTAAAAAATATACCACAACAATAAGAAGGCCTAAATAATGGAGAGATACACCATACCGTGTTCATGGATTGGGGGATTTGATATAATGATGTTGATTCTCCCCGAGTTGATCTATGGACTAAATATAGTCCCAATTAAAATACCAGCAGCCTATATTTCTAGAAATTGATGCTAATTTTTTTTTTTTTTTTTTTTTTTTTTGAGATGGAGTTTCGCTCTATCACCCAGGCTGGAATGCAGTGGCGCGATCTCAGCTCACTGCAACCTCCACCTCTCGGGTTCAAGCAATTCTCCTGCCTCAGCCTCCTGAGTAGCTGGGACTACAGACATGTGCCACCACACCCAGCTAATTTTTTGTATTTTTTAGTAGAGATGGGGTTTCACTGTGTTAGCCAGGATGGTCTCAATCTCTTGACCTCCTGATCCGCCTGCCTTGGCCTCCCAAAGTGCTGGGATTACAGGCGTGAGCCACTGCGCTCGGCTGATGCTAAAATTTATATCAAAAAGCAAAAGCTAAAACAGCCAAAACAGTTTTGTAAAAGAACACATTTGGAGAACTCATATGACCAGATTTTAAGACTTACTATAAATCTATAGCAGGATTGGCAAACTGGCCCACAGGTCAGCCTGCAGCCTGTTTTTGCAGGGCTTAAAAGCTAAAACTGCTTTTTCCAGTTTTCAATGGTTGAAAAAGGAAACCAAACATGTATGTAGCAGGAATTATATGTAGCCCACTCTT